GAGCGCTAAATATAACCAGGCGATTAAAATCTAGGTAACGAATCCAAAAATATATAAAAAATATAAGAATAAAAGCAATTTTTAAAGTTATGCTATTTGCAGGAAACATTTGCATTCAGAAACTGTGTTTCTTCAACGTAAACTGTTTTCGGTATCGCAATATTTTTTTTAATAAACTTTTTTCTTGTTGACCTTATATGATAGGGGCGCTAGGTTTGTGTATTCTTATAGTTGTACATTATCTGTCGTTGGCAATATCGACTGAATGATTGAAATTAAACTTGCCAATTTTCAGATTTGTAGGCCCGGAAATTGTATAACCATGTACAGCATTTTAATGCCATTTCGCTAAAATCGTTTTCAGTTTGAGGATTTCTTTTTAAAACATTGCACGTTCGAACATCGAAACTGGAGCAACGGTAATAGATAACTTAGCTTAGGCACATCCATTGTCTAATTAATGACTCTGGTTTGTTCAGAATTAATAGAGTTGTACGTTTTTCAGCTGATATTGAATGTGTATTTGTAAAATTGCACAAAAATGGGCAAGATTTTACATTTTCCTTGAATGTTTAATATTTCAAAAGTTTTCCTTGTGTGATGATAATCAGATACAAATTGTTTTATTGTAGCTTATTTCGATTGATTAATTCGGTCATTTGAAGAGAAAACTTAGTTTCAAATGTATTCAATAAATATTTATTTACAGTCAGTTTTAAAATATATGCAGGTATCGATTGTATGAGGGAACACGGACAATTTATAAACTGTATTTGCCGATGAAAGTTATGAAGCACTCGAGCCGTCTTTCCCATTGCAAATTTAAAATATATTTTTTTACTTCTTGTAGTATTTTTGTACTTCCTGTTTATATCATGACATGTTTGACCTATTCAATGCTACAAGCGGTGGTCCAATCTAAATCTGTGACATCTAAAATGTCGTTGTGTGGAAGTAGCGGCTCTTAAAAATGATTGTAGATTGAAACTGAATCAACTTGGATATTGGCCAATCACAGACTTTTCAACAAGTTTTCTACCCTTCTATGATACATCTGGACTGAATTAAAAATGTTTTAAACTTACGTGCAAGCGAGTAAATTGTTAATGACGATGGACGGGATAGTTCGGAAATCTTCAGTTCATGTTCAGTTTTTCATTCTCAAACTTCCAATGAAAACTACAATAAATCTACTTTCAACTGTGTCTGACCGATGAAGATTTATTTTAAACGAAACGCATAAATACCATTAATTCCACATTTTTTGCTGAGACATTCGGAAGGTTCGATTTTTTAAAATACGAATATAATGTTTAAACCTTAAGACGGGCGGTTAAATGCCATACGTGAACCATGCATGTTATAACTACTTGCAAATTTTAATTGCCGTGAAAATGTGTTGGTAAAATTTACATAATTGTTTTGTTTATGTTGCATATTATCCTTTCTTAAAGCCGACATCGGCTGAATTGCGGACGACATTGTACTCAAGGGACTTTGCAATGTTCAAATCAAACAACAAAACAGCCACTGAAGAATTACGACACTGGCATAGTAAGCAGTAGGAAATTTCAGTGTAATGTTAAGGACTTCGTTGTGACGTTCGTCTATTTCATTTGTTGGGGAATCTTTATTACTGATACTTATTGTAACTATTTTTTTGCCGTTGAACGGTTGAAATGTTTAAAATTTTCTATTTCAATTATTTAAATAAACTAAGCCATTTCAGAACCAAAAGAAAAAATCTTGATAATGAAAATGGATTCACTTATATGCTGATACTAAATGAGCTTGTTTACAACCGTTTCTGTGAAACATTTCCCAACATTGTCTATTGATGCACATTTCTGCGAAATGCTCATACATGTGCGTAGACGATTGTATGAATCGTGTTAGGATATTTGAAGTTTCCAATTATATTTCTAATATTAATCTAGGATTTAACCATACTCTATAAACTACCTATAGTCATGCCGACAGCATTTATGTAACCTTGAACGTTCCATTCAAAGTATAATAATTTAGTATTCAGAAAAATAATTTTCTGAATTAAACTTGTATTTTAGATATGAAGCCTCTGGTTCAACTTGTCTAACTTTATATGACATTTTTATTCACTTATGTACTGTAACTAATCAGAGGCTGTGGGCATAATATTGCACTCTATTACAGCGTATTGGTTTTTACTAACGTAACGTCTTGGCTACTGTGATAATTGGAAAACAAACAGACCACAAAATATCCCCCCCCAGGGGGTATGTTCTGTGCAAACAGACGGATCTTCTTTCAGTCTATTTGGGAGCTAGAATTTCTTTTAGTAGCAAACTGGTCAAATTACCTCCAATAGAACTATTCTCGGACAAAAATCCGTGCAAGTGCTTTGCTGTGGTTTTTTCCGTACATACAAAATTTTTGTTCCTTGCTGGAATTAATTCTGCATGTGATAACACTAAGTATTTCTTAGAGATCAGTTGTCTCCAATTTCAAGTCGAATTATAATCTAAAGGTTTGAAATACTGAACTAAATGTGTAACACAAAATTAATGTTGTGACAAACTACATTTTCATATTTAATCTGAAACACTCCAGAGTTCGGTAATTAGCAAAAGAACTAGAAATTAATGCTCGTAGGAAGTTGGTGTTAGAAGGGTCAACAGATTTTCGTCACTTTCACTTCTCAAAAAGGTTTATTTTGCAAGTTTTTCTCAGGTAAGCAATTCTCTTTAAAGTCCGTTCCGGATAGTATCAAACAAGCTAATCTCATTTCGCAGCTTCAGTGGCATCAACATTTGAATTCACAAGTGATAAAGCGCTTATTTCAATGTTTTACAAGTAAAAGGTATTTTTTAGAAGTATTCATTCGAGCCATTTTTCATTTATTTTTTGCATGACATGACATTGGTATCGTTGGATAGATAATTGAAAATTCGATTCAGTCGTAACAACATGAGTGAGGAAATTTGAGTAGTTTTGACCCAGAAAGTGAAAATTTGAATATCAGACCTTTAGGTGCAAGAATATGCCAACAATTCATGTTTTCCGTCCCGTTATTGCTCATTTCACGAAAGCAAAATGAGCAAGAACGATAATTTTACCATTATTTTAGAGAGAAATAAATAGCCTTTTTAGAAAGTAGACTATCGTTAAGCAAATCTTGCCAGTTTTCTCCAAAAAGTCATGATTTCAACAAATTTTAGATTTGCGTGTTCTTTTTCCAGTTGTAAAATCGACTCAAACAAGACCATGCTTTTGTCTAAGTTTCTTAAGCCGTGATTGAGCCACAGAATCCGTTTTGGCATCGTTGGATAGATAATGGAAAATTAGATTCAGTCAAAATAACATGAGTGAGGAAATTCGAGTAGTTTTGACGTAGAAAGCGAAATTTGAATATCAGACACTTAGGTGCAAGATTAGGCCAAAATTTGATGTTTTTCGTTCTGTTTTTGCTCATTTCTCGGAAGCAAAATGAAGAAAACGCTCAATTTTACACCATTCCATACTAACTGTCCTTTTTAGAAAGTGTACCATCCATAAGGAAATGTTGCCAGTTTTCTCAAAAAAGTCTTGATTTCAAGAAGTTTTACAATTGCGTGTTTTTTTTGACTTGCAAAATCGACTCAAACATGACACTGCTTTTTTCAAAGTTTCTCAAGAACCATTTGAGCCACATAATTCGTTTTGGCATCGTTGAATAGAGAATTGAAAACTCGATTCAGTCATAACGACATTAGTGAGGCAATTTGCGTAGTTTTGACCCAGAAAGCGAAATTTGAATATCAAACACTTACGTGCATGATTATGCCAACATTTCATGTATTCCGTCCAGTTTTTTCTCCTTTCTCCGAAATTATATTCAGTCATAACGCCATTAGTTAGGAGATTCGAGTAGTTTGGACCCAGAATGCGAAGTTTGGATATCAGACACTTAGGTGCAAGATTATGCCAAAATTTCATGTTATCCGTCCCGTTTTTGCTAATTTCTCGGAAGCAAAATTAAGAACAACGCTCATTTTTACATCATTCTAGATAGTATTAAATTACCTTTCAGAAAGTGAACCAATTTCGAACTTAATGTAATGATTCTTAATTATCCATGAAAATACTTCAGAAGCTGCATTCGATGGCTTAAAAACATGACCCTGCTCATTCCATTTCGATAGAATATCATAGTTAAATTTCCCTTAAATAATTGCTATGGCTCAGCAACGGTTACAGTTTTTTCAAGACCTTTCTATGACGTTTAGAAAGGTCTTCCTTATAGGTTTTAGGTTTAGAAACCGTATAGGTTTAAATTAAGAAAAAAAAACACACATTGGGGGTGGCTGAGGTTGAAGGGGCTGCAAAGATCTTTCTACAAGAAATCATTCTTAAAAAAAATAATAATTGAATGTGGAACATAATCCTGTATAGTGTGTCCGAAAACTACTAACCCAAGTTAAAACTCATTGTTGTTGTATGTTGTTATAATTGTTGTATTATGGGATTTTAACAATTGTGCAAAAAACCGCTTTTGAAACCTGAAAAGGAAGTTTTCGCGGCACATTTTAAATTCCATAATGAAAAAAATAATAACTGTTATCCACGATGTACATAGAGGAATAATGATGGCTTTATTTTCCGCGAAATATTTCTGAATGAATTCGTTTATACCATCTAAGGCTACGCGGAGGAGACCAGAACGAAGAACTATCACGTACTTAGCAAACACAAACTATTTGTTTGTGATTAAATACTTTAACTGTTCATCCAGAAGCTAGTAATATATTAGAGTTTTTTATGGTCAATATTTTAAGGCAGATATATACATATTTATTTACCTTTGGATTTTATTTTTTCACTTTTACGAAGCAATTAGATATTTTGTTGATCTATGGGGTAAATGCAGTATAAAAAATGCAAAAGCGGTCGATACTTTGCTGATTCGCTGGTGGCGATGCCGCAAGCAGCAGCAGAGGCGATAGTCATAGTCATAGCACAGCATAGTCATTCGTTCGGTGATCGCTTCGAAGAAGAGACGGTTTTATAGAGCGCGTGCTGGGATAGAGACGCGCGGACGCGCAATATTACGCGACTCGGATATTTCCAAACTGTTTTGCGGGTTTTCTAAACATTTCTATTGCTTGTTTTCCGCGTTGGAACGTGTTTTGTGGGTTTTATCATTGTTTGGATTAACTGTTATAGTGGTAAATTCAAAGACGTAAACAACGTTGGAGGGAGACTGAACGAAATCTTGAACTTTTTCTGTAAGTTCCTTTTTCCTCTTTACTTGTCGATGACATAAAAATTCTAATGCAAATGGCTTAGAAAATTTACAATTCTTGAAAATCGTCATTTATACAAGCAATTAAATTTGTTTATATTTTGCGCGCGTAAGGTTTAATCGCCGACTAAATAATATAAACTTCATGCTTCTTCAAAAATTTTGTTCAATCAAATTCAAAAGTTTGCCTTGTTTTGAAAATCAGCAATTTTTATAAGTTTTTCTAAAGGACCGTCAGATGCCGAAATAAAAAAATATTTTATTTTTATTTCTATGTTCCAGATTTTCTCAAAAAGTTGTTATTTTACAAAGATGCATGCAGATACTCTATGGCGTTCTTGACATTTCAAGTAGAATTGGCTTAATATAAATATATGCATAATGCTTAATATAAAAAAGTGCAGAAATAGAGTTAACAATTGCACGCTTGTGAATTGAAAATGGTTGTCTACATTTGTATATATTTTAATAAAAATATTTATTACCATACACAATTATCATCAATCTTAGAGTTTAATTATAATGTATATCGCTCTATTAGTAAATTAAAACCCGGAAATTTCGTCAGTCACCTTTAAAAGTACATAATTTTAACACAATATGTTCAAACATTGTGAACAGCAGTCGTGATTCCTCAAAATATTGGTAGATATTGAGAATGGAAGAACCAGAGGTCTAGTAACCACATAATAGCGCGGATTGTTTTTGATTATGCCTCTAGATTTTTTCGAAAAATGTACGACAACTGAAGAAAGTTTTAGCAAACCAAACGTTTCGTGACTTTGGAATCATGTAGATTTTTTGTTAGCCTAAAGCAGCTCGTAACTTGAAGTACGTCAAGAAACTTTATACCGTATTACATTCTCGGTAATTGAAGCAAAATATGTAGGTAAATAAATCTCATAAACCAAGAATATTTCAGCTCCAGACTGGATATATTTTTTGCGTTGGAAAATGTATTTATTTCGAGATTTTCCGTAAATTTAATATTTAGATAACATTTTAACAGAATCATAAATACCGTCTCTGGATAAATGGAGCTCTACGGCAATTGAACTATTTTTTTAACTGGAAAAAGTACTCTAAAGAATAGTTTTGGCCATACTTTCACAAGGAAAATCTCTGTGCTTTTGAATCGTTTCTGTATCTTCTTCAGCAGGCTGTGATCTAAACATTTTTTGTATTTTGCCTGGCATACGGCCATAACCGGATATAGATTTAAAAAATTTACATTATGCCGAAATACATTTTTTTTGAGTTTTCAACTCAACCATAAAACGAGTGGGCGAGCAAAAGTAGGTTGATTGTTTCAAAATCCAATTAATGATTTCCGCAAAAAAATAGGAATTTTATTTTTCCAAGCATTACTAGTATGAGTATAACGTTTTAGTCAACCCTTGTTTATCTAAACACAAGCTCAAATCTTTTAGTATAACTTAGTATATTTTTAGTATAATTTTTTAGCATAATAAATAGTACATACTCTTTCAATCAACTAGTCCATTTCGAAAATTTATTATATTAACATCGAACTTCTAAACACAATATATTTCCAGATAATTGCCATTAGGTACTTATGCCTAATTCAGATGTATCTATTTTTTCTTTAGAATGTATTAATAAAATCATATAAAGGTGCTTACGTGTGTGATAATTTATATTTTAATCTACCTCATTTTAATATTTTTAATTGAGAGCTAATGACTTGTGAAACGAAATTTTAGGAAAGTAAGAATTTTATTTTTCTTCGTGAATGATTTCTCTCAGATTTTTCAGATGCCCTGTAAAGAAACCGAAAACGCAACTGGCGCTCAATGTTCGAGTTGGGACAAGTTTGTCCTATATTTTTATTCCCCTAACTGTAAGTTTGATGAGGAGGGACGCATGAACCTACATTTTTAATTTGGAGGGAGGTCGAGTCATACCTTAGTCTAAAACTGTTTTAACCTTAATTATAACCTGTTTAAATTGCTCTTATTATTGCTATATTATGTTGCTGCTGCTGTTAAGCTAATTTATCACATACATACTTTAACATGGCAAGAGGGTGAGTAATTGTAGTGTTTAAAATACCATTTTTTTAAGAATCAGATAACTAAATATTAAACAATTTACATTTGGAGTTCTGCCTTTCTCGACAATGTCCTCCGATATAATACGTTTTACAGCTGTTATGACCTTAATTCTTCACGTTTATAGCCGAAGATTTCATTTAATGCTTTTCATTTTTCAGCCGATAAGAATTATCTCAATTTTGTGATATTTAGTCAACGGTGTTGATTAGTCTTAGTAAATGTACGACATTTCTGCTTAGTCGTACATACTATATTCGACTGAAACTAATATGATTCCTAAAACCGTAGAAGTAATTGATTTTCCAAACCTGTAGATACATATTTAATATTTAGGTGGTCTGCTAACTAACTGCCAAAACCATGTTCTATAGTTTATTGTTTCGGTTTTATTGGTGAAAAATGAAAAGGTGGAGTGAATGAAATAGCAGCGTTCAGGTTGTGATTCAGAAAATTAGAAGATGTTGACGATGTGAATCGTTAATTTTCGGCTTCATGTTTATAACTAGAGTAATCAATTATTTAAATTCCTGCTTTGCTATTCATGCAATTTTAATTACAGCAAATTTTGAAATATGGCATATAATTTGTATTTTTCGTCTTTTAATTTATTTATTTCAGTGCTTACTTTTGGTTAGTCATATAATAACACTAAATTTAGATGAATGGGATCATTCTGAGCGTCATCTTATTATAATTTCAATCTGCTACGAAAAAGTTGACCATTGAAACTAATTTAAGTTATCGATTGAAAAGTTTTCGCGGTTTATAAGCCCTTGAGCACTGGGATTACTTCAGCTGCTATCGAAAAATAAATGCTAAATTTGCCATATATACTTTTACAATATAAATTACATACTTTTGATTTTACGTATGTGTGATTTATACTTGATATTCCGAGGGTATATTATTTATAAATGATCAAAATATGAGGCGTGAAAAAGTTATTTACTTGCGGCACTCTTCGGTCTCTGACTATATTTTAATTTTTTTCAAGTTGTTCAAGTTAATCAAGTTTTTTGATTATTGGGTTGACTATGTCAAGGCATTCAACATTTTGAATTGGACCAGGACTCGAAAGTCGGATATTCAGCGTTGGACTATTATGCTGCCAACATTAAAGTAATACTATTAATATAAAGCAATAGTTGCTGTTATAAATAAAATAAAAGCCAGCCACCATATTTGAAAATTGTAATCGTAATTTTAAAACAATCAAATCATCACAAATTTCACGTTGAAATCCACAATTAAATGAGCAAATAAATAATTCACACACCAGTTAAGCATTTCACATCAGTGACTGGATAATGTAAAAGGATTAGTGACATTCTCTGTTGATTTTTAATTTAAATTGTATCACAAAGTGGAGTATTTTTTGAAGCTTGCAATAAACTAATTTTTGTTTGAACTATGCTGAATTTCGACAACATTTGCGACTGCAAACTGACGTCGGAATGGAGTTGAAAGGGATCGGAATGTGAATGTTATAATGTAATTAAATAGTTCAATTTTGTTTTCCCTAAAAACGTTACGAATCGTTTGAACTAGTTAAATCATTCTAACTTGGCTTGTTTTGAAGATACTAACTTGCTAGGACTGGTATGGAACAGCGTCTACTTCTTTCAGACTTTCAGTAGACAAATGGGTTCAAATAATATTTAGGTAATACAATAACATGCGAAACGTTCTATTGGGTGGTGTTAAGTGGCTTTCTGTATGCAATAATAGTGCATAAGTAAACTATTTCGTGTCTCAAGAAGCAATTCGCAGATATTCTTTGAAAACTACTACTTCATTTGCATTAAAATTTATTAGAAACACTAAATCGACGTGTATATCAAATCATACATAAAAATTGTAATTACGATGTTTGTCTAATCCTGGATCTGGCGAAAGCGGATTTTGTGTGGATGATTCGTTGAAATTCATCAATTATTCTATGCCTGAAAGTCCGCAATCCATTTCTTATATAAATCGTTTCCCGTATAGAATATCGATGTATGGAATTGCTCTATTCCTTTTTTTTATTGAGTTTTCTGAACTCATGAATTGATAAAAACTATTATTGTATTTTTGAATTCATATTTTTTCTTAAACTCGAAACGACTGATTAAACATTGAATTCAGCAGAAAACAATATATTTCTTAAATTTTAGTTTGACATAAGCATATTCACCAACCCGCTTTATGCCTATCTGGCGTTGTTAGTGAGATCAGAAATAATGAAGAGGGCTTTTAAAAAATCTATGTAAATGCAAAAACTATTTTTCAAAGAAATCCTTTTAGTTGTTAGAATTAAAAGCTTTGCTGTTATGGTCTCCTTCATCTACATCAATGTTTCTTTATTAATTCAATCCGTAGCTTCTGTTTTATGAAGATATTTTGATTGACAAAACACCAACTTTCAATGTTAAAATCGTTATTTATTAGTAATTAGTTCAAATCAACCAATAGGTATGTGTCAGGCGCACAGAGGTCAGACTTTAATTAACGTAAAACTTAAGTTAAATTTTTGAATAGTCTTCAACAGAAGCCCTATACTTTCAGAACTTTAATTAAAATCTTCTGAAATGGAATTTTAATCAACTAATTTTCCGAATCTCCTCGAGGCATCGATAGGCAATATTTTCGAGTTGTATGATACTTTTTATATTTTGATCTTGTTAAAACATTCATGCACAAAGGTAAATTTTGCTTGAGCTTTAACCGAGAGGAACAGAGGGTGACTTAATTCAATTATTTTTTTATCCTCAATTAAATTAAGTCACTTTTCTGATCTACGTTGTGCTAAATGCCTTCTTTCGTGGCTTAAATTTTACAAAATGAAGTCGGCTCAATTATTAATTATTATTCACTAATCGGAAATTTAAATATCATTGTTCCCAAATGCGTTATTAGATAGGCAAAT